GAGCGTTGATCTCTAACGTCAACGGGGTGGACATCTATTTGAATGAGGAAAACATTCAAATTCTCACAGGGCTTCGTCGGGACGGACAGGATCTCGGGCTCTACGTCGGAGAAGAAGGAGCGCGGTTCAACGAGACCGCCCTCTTGGAGGAAGTGGGCATCCGACACTTTGTCCCCACTCCCCAACAGCGGCGCCCTACGATTGCTTCCATGAGTCCCGTACTTCGATTCATCTTCTATGTGTTGACACGGATCCTCAAGCCCAGGAAGTTCAACCACACCACTCTCTCCCAAGAACACATGAAGACGATCCATGCGATGATTCACAACGCCAATATCAATTGGTGTAAATTTGTGATGATCCACATGTTCAACGCCACCTCTGACAACCGGCCGCTCCCCTATGTTCTTCTCGTCATGGCCATCCTTGATGAGTACCACATCAAGACGGACGTCGGGCCGAAATGCAAAGGGACGAAGCATTGGGAGATTAGCGAGTCTTCCTTCCACCCGGGAACCGATGAAGCTACGTTCCCACAGCCTCGTCCTCGCTGCCAACCGAGAGCCACTGCCTCAACCGCCACCACTTCGACCAATCCTTCTCTCGCCGAGCAAATGGCAGCCTTGACCGCCACTCTCTCTCGAATTGGCACCAACGTCTCCAAAACGGCACACAACGTCAATATCTTGAGCCGTGAGCTTCACGGGTATTTTGACTTTGTCAATTACCCGTACGCTCAAATGGTCCCCTACGTTCCTCCACCGAATTTCAGAGGTGAACAGAGTGGGACTCAAAACGTTGGTAGGGACGATGCGGTGGACGAAGACGAAGAAGAAGAAGAAGCCGATGATGATGATGATGATGATGATGATGGCGATGGTGATGAAGATGAAGAAGAAGAAGACATTGGCGAAGAACAACGTCTCAATGATCTTTCCCCGGATTTCTAGAGCTCTAGCTCTACTTTCTTCTCGTCCTTATTTTATCATCTTTTAATATGCTTTCATTATGTACTCCGCTATTTCCCTTAATTAATAAAAATCTTTATGGTTTTTTTATCAAAAATCTTTTTGTTAATGTCAAAAGAAGGAAGATAAGGGCTATGCATAAGGGGGAATTTTTTTTCAAAAAGATCCAAACCCTATGCATATCCCCGTCTTGTTTCCCATTATCAAAAAGGGGGAAATTGTTGGGACACACTTTGTACGATAAACTAAAATCGTGTTCATTTCTGACAGGTTTTGATAATTGCCAAACCGCTGTGGATATAAAGAGTTTCGTTGAATAACTCAAGGCGTGAAGATGTCTTGGAACAAGACCTAAAAGACTCAAGGACAAGATAAAGAATTGAAGACTCAGTCGAGTCGGTCTTTTGTGATCAAAACCGACAATAAATTCAAGTCTCGGTTCTCAAAAAGTCAAAACAATTTTTACAAATCATAAAATATTTTTTGTGCATCAAAATAAACATTTTTGATGATTTCTTTTATTGTTAAAATCCCTGGTCCTTGCTCAGAACCCAAACCACGTAAGTCGGCGTTCGGCTTTCGGCTTTCGGTTTTTGACGCCCGAACCAACTCCGTGGTTTTCAATTTTTTTAACCCTGTTTTTACCTCTGAGCATTTTTTAAAATGTTCCAAAATAATTATTTTATAAAAACCAGTTTTGTATCTTGGTCAATCGGTCTAACACGTGAAAAACGGTCAAAACCGTACGCACGTATTGTACGACCTTGGAGACTTGGTTTTTACCAAACAAGTCTTGTTTTCACTATTTAATACCATATACAATATTTTTCAAACCTGGTTTTTACTTTTGGGAACACTTCGTTTTTGGACCTCGGTTTTTGAAAACGGGTTTCAGCTGGCTAGACTTTAGCTGGGTGATAATCGATTATCACCTTAGTGACAATCGACTATCAGCCCCTGCAGCTTTGAACTTCCAAAGTTCTGAAGCACGCAATAATTGATTATCAGCTATGCAATAATCGATTATCAGTCTTTGCAGCCAAAACCCAGAATCTTCTGAGAGGACCAATAATCGATTATCACTTGTTGACAATCGATTATCTGGGTTACCGTTGTCCTCCAACGGATAGAATTTTAAATTTTTGGACATGGAATCTTTGGATAATCGATTATCAAGCTTTGACAATCGACTATCACCCTGTGTCTCTGAAAAATTTGTCTTCATCCTGTTGGAAATTTTAGCAACGGGTTTATCCTATTTTGAGCTATAAAATGGCACCCAAATCCTCTCATTTTACACACAATTCTTCAACATTTCAACACTCCTTCATTGCATAAGCATTCCTATTTTTCTTAGCTATTTGAAAGCCAATTCTTGAAGAAATTGTCCTGTTCCTGAGCGTTTACTAGTTCACTCATATCTACTCTTTGTGAGAGTTTTATTCCTGAGTGTTTAAGTGTTTTCATACACTTTAAGGGAGGTTGTTCCCTTGTTGTAAACTCGAAGGAAGTTCCTTGTTCCTTCGTGAGAAGTCTTGGAGTGCGGTATCTCCAAGCAAAGGTGTTGAGGCTCGTGTGACTCGGGTTC